CTGTAACACTCCAGAGGCCAATCCGTGTCTCCACGACACCGGTGCTGGGACAAAGGGCACACTGCTCGACCTTCTCTACCTTGCCGCTCACCAACCCCCAGCACCTCTTCCGTCTAGGACTCACCCACACAGTATCAAAACTAATACACGATTCCTGATGATATTTTGCGTAATTATTTTGACTTCCATCAAGAGGAACGGACTAAATGATCGTTATTTTCCAGCAATAGTCTTAGGGAGATCTGGAAGGTCCGTCTCAAGTCGTCCAACAGGAGCGAACTCTAACTGACAACATACTTGGGAAGACAAAAACGGAAAATGACGGCAAGAACGGAAACAAAGACATGAAGATTAAAGTAGAAATAAGCGAGGGAAACTCGCACAACGCACGTGGACGGCGCGCAAGGAAGCGCAGCTCCCAGATGAGCGGAAGGGCGGAGACACGGAGGCTTCGTATCTCCGTGGGAACTAATACCTCACCTTCAAGGAAACACGGGTAGGAAGGCCAGGCAGCGGAAGGGATAGAACATTCAAGTATGTTTATTGAGACAAGAAAGAAATACATCTCAAAGGGATAGAGTAGCTTAGGCTATTTCTACCCTCCGGGATAGAACATGACTGACGAGTATAACTGGGGAGAGGGAATATGACTGGGGGAGACAAAATCTCGGGAGAGGAATATGAGGTAGAGGGAAGAAAGGAAGAACAGAAGTAGAGGTGAGGGAGAGATTTATAGTAAACACAAAGGAAACAGGTCAGGAGTGACAGTGAGCATGGAGGAAGACGAGGGAGTTGTAGAGGCGTAATAACGGGCGGGCGAGGTGAGGTGGTGGGCGTGGGCGTGCGTGGTGGTGGGCGGGCGTGGGTAGTAACGATGTTGTGGACAGCTTTACGTCAACTCGGACACCACATTCCGACGCCACTCCCTCCCTATACACCCTCCCTACTTACCTTTCTTTACAACCTACCTTAGCACCCCTGTCTTCTCACCCTCCCATCACACCCTTTCTCCTTCCCTTCCCCTTCACATCCTTCCTCCACACTCTCCTCTCACACCCTACCACCTCGACACCCTACCTGTACACCGTCATCCAGCATCACATTTTCATAATCTCACCCTTCCTTAACAAGATTACAAAAAGGGAGGACTACAACACGCCAGGAGACTACTGGGAAAAAGTTCCATGCGAAAATGAATTGGAGAAGATATTAAACGGGATGGACTACGTAGCTGAGAATTCACAGGAGCCAGAAAATTGTTATCTCACTCACTCAGGACGTGGAGGAGAAGTGCAGAGTGAACCGGAGTTTCCAGTGGCGGAGTAGCAAGACTCAGCGCCAAGAAAGTATGGAGGAAATAAAGTTCACGGAATTTAATAGGGACAAGCTTCGAAAATGAGTTAGGAGTCTATAACATTCAAGAAAGATACAGAAAACGGTTTGTGACTGACACACACACGGAAACTAAAGGGACCAGCCCAAACATCTACACAGTTACACAAGGAGGAAAACAACAGTTAATGACTGTGCACTTAAGCTAAGATTAAAGTGGAAAGCCCTAACGGAAAATTATGTGTGTGCGAGGAACTCAATAAAAAAATAAAACAAAGAGGATCCAGATTTTCAAACAAGAACCTGGGTGGAGACAAGAGAATGGGAGACGACAGACGGCTAGAAACAACATTGTACAGTAAAACAGTCACGGGAAAGGTTAAAACACACACGGAGGAACTAGCAGCAACTAGTTCTTGGACTTGGTTATACTTGGACTGGCCCTCAAGGCAGTGGGGCCAGTCCAGGTATAACCAATTCACCACGGCTGCTGAGGGACTTTAGAGGCACTCTGTTATATACGTCCTCAGATTCTTGTCAGCAGGAAGTATAAGCCGGTAGGGAGTTGAGGACGGAAGAGTGCCTTCCGCCTGTGTTACCCTAACCTTTTCTTTCCACGCGGAATTCAGTCGGTAGAATCAGCAGTACAATAAGTCACTACTTTCTCCGATAACTAAGTCATGCACCTCATAGGCAGTGACACCAGCACCTGCCTTTGTCACGTTCGTTTCCCGGCGCCGGCGAGAAACAAATTGGCAGTTTCTTTCACCCTGATGCCACTGTTACCTAGCAGTAAATAGGTACCTGGGAGTTATACGTGAACGACATATCTACACGAGTCGAGTCCTATATGTCGATGGTCGCGGATGATGCAAAATTAATAAGACGAGTTGTGACAGATGAGGATTGTATGATCTTCCAAGAGGGTTTGAACACAAGCTGCAAACATTGTCAGAGAAATGGCTATTGGAGTTCAATACGGGCAAGTGTAATGTTATGGAAATGGGACTAGGTGACAGGAGACCAAAGGGACAGTACACAATGAAGGGGAAATGCCTACCTGTCACGATTAGAGAGAGGCCTGGGAGTAGACGTAACACCTAACCAAACTCCCGAGGCACATATAAATCGGATATCGACAGCAATGTACTTTACACTGGCAAAAGTTAGAACATCATTCAGAAACCAAAATAAGGAGGCATTTAGAGCGCTTTACACTGCCTATGTGAGAACAGTCTTAGAGTATGCAGCCCCATCATGGAGTCCCCAACTGAGGAAACTGGAAAAAGTTAAAAAAATTGCGACGAGACTCGTCCCAGAGTTACGAGCGATGGGGTATGAAGAGCGCTGAAAGAACTGAACCTGACTACGCTAGAAAAAAGTTGGGAGCGGGGAGACGCGATAGCAACGTATAAAATAATTAGAATTGACAGAGTGGAAATAGACAAAATGTTCACACCGAATACCAACAGAGCAAGGGAACATGGGTGGAAGCTGTACTCTCAGACGAGTCATAGAGTTGCTAGAAAATTTTATTTTAGCGTGAGAGTAGTGGGGAAATGGAATGAACTAAAGGAGCACATTGTGGAAGCAAACACTATGCATAGTTTTAAATATAGATATGATAAGGGAGTAGGACATGAGTCATTGCTTAAAACAACCGGTGGCTAGAAAGGCGGGACCCAAGAGCCAATGCTCGATCCTGCAGGCCCCAAGTAGGTGAGTATACACACTCACACACCTTACGGGGCCTCACGACTGAGTGAACAGCACTGGGAGGTCGTAGTCCTAATGGCCCAGGTTCAATTCCTGGCAGAGGCGGGAACAAATGGCAGAGCTTCTTTCACCCTATTGCGCCTGTTTACCAGCAGTAAATAGGCACCTGGGAGTTAGACAGTTGCTACGGGCTGCTTCCTGGGGATGTGTGTGTGTGTGTGTGTTTGAGAGAAATATTAGCAGTAGATATAATAGAGGACAAATAGATTGGTTAGAAAGGCGGGGTCCAAGAAATAATAGCTCGATTCTGCAGACACAAATAGTAAATGTAATTAGTAAATCCATGCACACACACACACACACACTCAGTCTATACCTAGTTAAACACAAGACAAAGTTAAAGAAGATTCAGAGGTATGCCACCAGACTAGTCCCAGAACTGAGAGGTACGAGCTAGCTCCGGGAGCTAAACCTCACGTCCCTGGAAGATAGAAGAGTAAGAGGAGACATGTCACCATCTACAAAATTCTCAGGGGAATTGACAGGATGGACAAAGACAAACTATTTAACACGCGTGGAACAAAAAAAAAACAGGACAGATAGAAACTTAGTACCCAAATGAGCCACAGAGACACCAGAAAGAATATTTTCAGTGTCAGAGTAGTTAACAAATGGAATGCATTAGGCAGTGATGTGGTGGAGACTCAATACACAGTTTCAAATGTAGATATGATAGAGCCCAGTAGGCTCAGGAACCTGTATACCAGTTGATTGACAGTTGAGAGGCAGGACCAAAGAGCCAAAGCCCCACCCCAGCAAGCACAATAGGTGAGTACACACACACACATCACATGCAATATTCAACCCGTCCTCGACTCAAGTCCATTACATCCAGCGGTCGACCCCACAGACGCATTCATAAATATTAACATGCTGCTCATTCAAAACGGGAATTTTCTCATATATAAATTAATATTATATTATAAAAGCATATTGAGCATATATAGGCATAGGTTAGGTTAGGTTAGGTGTTTAGGTTCTGTTGGCGATTATTTGTATTTGTAGTACGTGGGTGAAGCATTTACAGCGTTGTGGTTCGAACAAAATTCGTCAGTGAAGCATTTGTTCCGGAATTGTTCGAACGTGAACAGTCGTAAGTCGTGTGTAAACCGTTTTCATTCATAAACAGCGGGTTTGGCGGGTGCATGGAATCACTTTTGGGTCTTTGTTTGGAGGACGGACTGCAATATTACAGCCCGTCCTCCAAACAAAGATCCAAAAGTGATTCCATGCACCCGCCAAACCCCCTGTTTATGAATGAAAAACGGTTTACACACGACTCACAACTCATTTCCTTCGAACACTTCTGGAACAAGTGCTTCACTGACAAATTTTGTTCGAACCACAACGCTATAAATGCTTCACCCACGTACTACAAATACAAATAATCGCCAACAGAACCCAACCACCTAACCTAACCTACCCTATGCCTATATATGCACAATATGCTAATATAGCATAATATTAAATTATATTTGAGAAAATTCCTGTTTTGAATGAGCAGCATGTTAAAATTTATAAATGCGTCTGTGGGGTCGACCGCTGGATGTAATGGACTTGAGTCGAGGACGGGTTGAATATTATGAACTGCTGAAAGTCTTTGGAAAAAATACAATTTCAGACTTCATACGAGTCGCCGGGGTTGGCGCGTCGCTGGTGTTGGCGCGTCGCTGGTGTTGGCGCGTCGCTGGTGTTGACGCGTCGCCGGTGTTGGCGCGTCGCTGGTGTTGGCGCGTCGCCGGTGTTGGCGTGTTGCTGGTCTTGGCGCGTCGCCGGGGTTGGCGTGTTGCTGGTGTTGGCGCGTCGCTGGGGTTGGCGTGTTGCTGGTGTTGGCGCGTCGCTGGTGTTGGCGCGTCGCTGGTGTTGGCGCGTCGCTGGTGTTGGCGTGTTGCTGGTGTTGGCGCGTCGCTGGTGTTGGCGCGTCGCCGGTGTTGGCGCGTCGCCGGTGTTGGCGCGTCGCTGGTGTTGGCGCGTCGCTGGGGTTGGCGTGTTGCTCGTGTTGGCGCGTCGCTGGTGTTGGCGCGTCGCCGGTGTTGGCGCGTCGCTGGTGTTGGCGTGTTGCTGGTTTTGGCGCGTCGCTGGTGTTGGCGCGTCGCTGGTGTTGGCGCGTCGCTGGGGTTGGCGCGTCGCCGGTGTTGGCGCGTCGCCGGTGTTGGCGTGTTGCTGGTGTTGGCGCGTCGCTGGTGTTGGCGCGTCGCTGGGGTTGGCGTGTTGCTCGTGTTGGCGCGTCGCTGGTGTTGGCGCGTCGCCGGTGTTGGCGCGTCGCCGGTGTTGGCTCGTCGCCGGTGTTGGCGCGTCGCTGGGGTTGGCGAGTCGCCGGGGTTGGCGAGTCGCCGGGGTTGGCGCGTCGCCGGGGTTGGCGAGTCGCTGGTGTTGGCGCGTCGCCGGTGTTGGCGCGTCGCTGGTGTTGGCGTGTTGCTGGTTTTGGCGCGTCGCTGGTGTTGGCGCGTCGCTGGTGTTGGCGCGTCGCTGGTGTTGGCGCGTCGCTGGTGTTGGCGCGTCGCCGGTGTTGGCGTGTTGCTGGTGTTGGCGCGTCGCTGGTGTTGGCGCGTCGCTGGGGTTGGCGTGTTGCTCGTGTTGGCGCGTCGCTGGTGTTGGCGCGTCGCCGGTGTTGGCGCGTCGCCGGTGTTGGCGCGTCGCCGGTGTTGGCGCGTCGCTGGGGTTGGCGAGTCGCCGGGGTTGGCGAGTCGCCGGGGTTGGCGCGTCGCCGGGGTTGGCGAGTCGCCGATGTTGGCGAGTCGCCGGGGTGGGCGCGTCGCCGGGGTTGGCGAGTCGCCGAGGTTGGCGAGTCGCCGGGGTTGGCGAGTCGCCGGGGTGGGCGAGTCGCCGGGGTTGGCGCGTCGCCGGGGTTGGCGAGTCGCCGGGGTTGGCGCGTCGCTGGTGTTGGCGTGTTGCTGGTGTTGGCGCGTCGCTGGTGTTGGCGCGTCGCTGGTGTTGGCGCGTCGCCGGTGTTGGCGTGTTGCTGGTGTTGGCGCGTCGCTGGTGTTGGCGCGTCGCTGGTGTTGGCGCGTCGCTGGTGTTGGCGTGTTGCTGGTGTTGGCGCGTCGCTGGTGTTGACGCGTCGCCGGTGTTGGCGCGTCGCTGGTGTTGGCGTGTTGCTGGTGTTGGCGCGTCGCTGGTGTTGGCGCGTCGCTGGTGTTGGCGCGTCGCCGGGGTTGGCGCGTCGCTGGTGTTGGTGCGTCGCCGGTGTTGGCGTGTTGCTGGTGTTGGCGCGTCGCCGGTGTTGGTGCGTCGCTGGGGTTGGCGTGTTGCTGGTGTTGGCGCGTCGCTGGTGTTGGTGCGTCGCTGGTGTTGGCGCGTCGCTGGTGTTGGTGCGTCGCCGGGGTTGGCGTGTTGCTGGTGTTGGCGCGTCGCCGGTGTTGGCGCGTCGCCGGTGTTGGTGCGTCGCTGGGGTTGGCGTGTTGCTGGTGTTGGCGCGTCGCTGGTGTTGGTGCGTCGCTGGTGTTGGCGCGTCGCTGGTGTTGGTGCGTCGCCGGTGTTGGCGCGTCGCCGGGGTTGGCGTGTTGCTGGTGTTGGCGCGTCGCCGGTGTTGGCGCGTCGCCGGGGTTGGCGCGTCGCCGGGGTTGGCGTGTTGCTGGTGTTGGCGTGTTGCTGGTGTTGGCGCGTCGCCGGTGTTGGCGCGTCGCCGGTGTTGGCGCGTCGCCGGGGTTGGCGTGTTGCTGGTGTTGGCGCGTCGCCGGTGTTGGCGCGTCGCCGGGGTTGGCGCGTCGCCGGGGTTGGCGTGTTGCTGGTGTTGGCGTGTTGCTGGTGTTGGCGCGTCGCTGGGGTTGGCGTGTTGCTGGTGTTGGCGTGTTGCTGGTGTTGGCGCGTCGCTGGTGTTGGCGTGTTGCTGGTGTTGGCGCGTCGCTGGTGTTGGCGCGTCGCTGGTGTTGGCGCGTCGCTGGTGTTGACGCGTCGCTGGTGTTGGCGTGTTGCTGGTGTTGGCGCGTCGATGGGGTTGGCGCGTCGCCGGTGTTGGCCCGTCGCTGGTGTTGGCGCGTCGCTGGTGTTGGCGTGTTGCTGGTGTTGGCGCGTCGCTGGTGTTGGCGCGTCGCTGGTGTTGGCGCGTCGCTGGTGTTGGCGCGTCGCTGGTGTTGGCGTGTTGCTGGTGTTGGCGCGTCGATGGGGTTGGCGCGTCGCCGGTGTTGACGCGTCGCTGGTGTTGGCGTGTTGCTGGTGTTGGCGCGTCGATGGGGTTGGCGCGTCGCTGGTATTGGCGTGTTGCTGGTGTTGGCGCGTCGATGGGGTTGGCGCGTCGCTGGTGTTGGCGCGTCGCTGGTGTTGGCGTGTTGCTGGTGTTGGCGCGTCGATGGGGTTGGCGCGTCGATGGGGTTGGCGTGTTGCTGGGGTTGGCGTGTTGCTGGTGTTGGCGCGTCGCTGGTGTTGGCGTGTTGCTGGGGTTGGCGTGTTGCTGGTGTTGGCGCGTCGCTGGTGTTGGCGCGTCGCTGGTGTTGGCGTGTCGCTGGTGTTGGCGCGTCGCTGGTGTTGGCGCGTCGCTGGTGTTGGCGCGTCGCTGGTGTTGGCGCGTCGCTGGTGTTGGCGTGTTGCTGGTGTTGGCGCGTCGATGGGGTTGGCGCGTCGCCGGTGTTGGCGCGTCGCTGGTGTTGGCGTGTTGCTGGTGTTGGCGCGTCGATGGGGTTGGCGCGTCGCTGGTATTGGCGTGTTGCTGGTGTTGGCGCGTCGATGGGGTTGGCGCGTCGCTGGTGTTGGCGCGTCGCTGGTGTTGGCGTGTTGCTGGTGTTGGCGCGTCGATGGGGTTGGCGCGTCGATGGGGTTGGCGTGTTGCTGGGGTTGGCGTGTTGCTGGTGTTGGCGCGTCGCTGGTGTTGGCGCGTCGCTGGTGTTGGCGCGTCGCTGGTGTTGGCGCGTCGCTGGTGTTGGCGTGTTGCTGGTGTTGGCGCGTCGATGGGGTTGGCGCGTCGCCGGTGTTGGCGCGTCGCTGGTGTTGGCGTGTTGCTGGTGTTGGCGCGTCGATGGGGTTGGCGCGTCGCTGGTGTTGGCGCGTCGCTGGTGTTGGCGTGTTGCTGGTGTTGGCGTGTTGCTGGGGTTGGCGCGTCGCTGGTGTTGGCGCGTCGCTGGTGTTGGCGTGTTGCTGGTGTTGGCGCGTCGATGGGGTTGGCGCGTCGCTGGGGTTGGCGTGTTGCTGGGGTTGGCGTGTTGCTGGTGTTGGCGCGTCGCTGGTGTTGGCGTGTTGCTGGGGTTGGCGTGTTGCTGGTGTTGGCGCGTGGCTGGGGTTGGCGCGTCGCTGGTGTTGGCGCGTCGCTGGTGTTGGCGCGTCGCTGGGGTTGGCGTGTTGCTGGGGTTGGCGTGTTGCTGGTGTTGGCGCGTCGCTGGTGTTGGCGCGTCGCCGGGGTTAGCGCGTCGCTGGGGTTGGCGAGTCGCTGGGGTTGGCGAGTCTCTGAGGTTGGCGAGTCGCAAAGGAGCCGACTCCCATCCTGACTATGACAGTTCCCTACCACCCATGAATCCCCTTGCAAATTTGATTGAGGCCTGCCCAAAGCGTACCTAGGTCGACAACACTACCCAGGTCGACATAGTACCTAGGTCGACAACATTACCCAGATCGACATAGTACCTAGGTCGACAACATTACCCAGATCGACATAGTACCTAGGTCGACACAGTACCCAGCTCGACCTGGCATCGTTACACCAAAAATGAATATACGAAAATGGTGAGAGATAACGATAATATATGGGAACAAACTTAGCATCCCAACGTATGTATGTCAATACATAACTTCTCTGGCTTTATCCCGCTCTCTGTATCGTCTTTATCACGCTCTCTGTGTCGTCTGTATCTGTGTCTATGTCTGTGTCTCTGTCCCTGTCTGCGTGTCTTTCTGTATCTGCTGTTTGTCTCTCTGTTTCTTTATCTGTCTTTATTTCTTTATCTGTCTTTTTGTATCTCTCTATGCCTCTCCCTGACTATCTGTTTCGCTCTCTGTCTGTCATTGACTTTGTTTCTGTATCTCCGTCTCTGTACCTCTGAATCTGCGTGTCTCTTTTGGTCTGCTTGTCTCTCTTTCCGTCTCGCTGTCTCTGTATTTGTCTGTCAGTCCGTCTCTGTCTCTTGTGGTAGGGGTGTATGGACACGTATCCCCCGCCTCACATGCATCAACAATGTTAAATTGATGTGTAAACTAAACAAATTTGAACGTCATTGTTTACTAGTCCCGGCTGACGACAGACTGCAATTCACGTTGACTGAACCACTTACTAGCCACTAGTAAGTATTTCAGTTCAAACTCGGCTAAGAAAACAGTTTGCAACATTAGCCCTTCAGTCCTTCAGAAATTTGTTTGTTCTTACACATACTGAGACGTATAGCACCAGTCTCCCTTACTCCCGTTGTAATATTAAGGTAGTGTTTGGAAACGTAGGTAGAGTGAAGGATATGATGTTGACAAATGACCCTCTGTTGTTTATGGTCGATGTGTCCACCAGATTACGTGCAGGATTTCTGATAAAGTTTACATTGGTCAGTCGGGAAAATCCTTGACCAGACATGTCAGTCAGCATAAATGCCGTGTCAGGTCAGGGTAGGTAATGTGTTCGTTTGTTCACCTGTCGAGATTTTGAACTCCCGGTGAACTATAAAGTAACGCAAAGAGCATTTAACGCAAAATCAAGAACAACGGAGACAATGCAAGCTTAAAGGAATCGCTTTAGACGTGATCTAACGCATTTTCAATGAGTACTTTTCAAGGAGACCGGATAATACAATGTTGATTATATAAGCCACACACGATTGTAGACTGATAAACAAGCCTATAACCTTTAAGCAAGTGACATGTGAGGTCGAACAATAGGGAGAAGCCTATTGCAGTTTCACCCAATCTTATGAAAATAGGGTCGTCAGCAGCTTTACCCATTCTTTACGTAATCAATCTTCTTTACATAATTTAATGGTATTATTGTATTAAATGGTATGGTTGATAGCACCACGACCGAGGTCATCCAACAGCACCGTGACCCAGGTCATCCACCAGCACCGTGACCCAGGTCACCCAACAGCACCGTGACCCAGGTCATCCACCAGCACCGTGACCCAGGTCACCCAACAGCACCGTGACCCAGGTCATCCACCAGCACCGTGACCCAGGTCACCCACCAGCACCGTGACCCCAGGTCAATGACCTAGAGCGTGGGGTGGTATTTGGGTCGAGGCAGCAGCAGGAGGCGAGGCTGGCACGCTCTACAACCATCAAGGTTAATACTCAATGAGATGGTTCCCAGCGGAGTCATTTGGAGGTGCAGTGCCACGGTATGTGTGGCACTCTCTCTCCCCGCGACTCCCCGTAACGCGCTCCCTTCCTCACTGCCTGTGGCACCCTCTCTATCAGACTGGCTATGGTACCCTCTCTGCCAGACTGGCTATGGCACCCTCTCTGCCAGACTGGCTGTGGCACCCTCTCTACCAGACTGTCTGTGGCACCCTCTCAACCAGACTGGCTGTGGCACCCTCTCTGCCAGACTGGCTGTGGCACCTTCTCTACCAGACTGCCTGTGGCGCCCTCTCAACCAGACTGGCTGTGGCACCCTCTCTGCCAGACTGGCTGTGGCACCCTCTCAACCAGACTGGCTGTGGCATCCTCTCTGCCAGACTGGCTGTGGCACCCTCTCTGCCAGACTGGCTGTGGCATCCTCTCTGCCAGACTGCCTGTGGCACCCTCTCTACCAGACTGCCTGTGGCACCCTCTCTACCAGACTGCCTGTGGCACCCTCTCTACCAGACTGGCTGTGGCACCCTCTCTGCCAGACTGGCTGTGGCACCCTCTCTGCCAGACTGGCTGTGGCACCCTCTCTACCAGACTGGCTGTCGCGCCACGTGAGGTAAATATATTTGAAAACTCGCTAGAATAAGTAACAAATTATTGGAAGAAACTATGAACCCTTAAAACGGATAATATATATATGTGTAGCACGATACGGCAAAATATACGAGTTT